GTTGCTCACTCGCTCTGTCCTCCTCTTCCTCCTCCTCCCCCGGCAGCACCGAATCCGGGCGGGTTAGACAGAAGTAGGGATGGGCCTGGCACAGAGTGTGTGAACCTTTAGTGGCGGGGATGGGGCGGGGGCAGGGGGGGTGTGTCAGTGCCTTCAGAGATGGCAGGAGTCTTCTTGGGCTTTTCTTCTTCGAGGCGTGTGCCCGTGGGACTGGGCGGGACGGTGTGCATCTGACTGTAAGGAGCAAACGCCGGCTGTGCGTTTTTATCTCCGCGGCGCCTGGAGGCCGCGCTGGGCCCCGGGTGCCGTGCGCACTGCCCCTCCGCCGGGCCGCGGGCGCCCAGCGCGGCACTTCCCCGACGGTCCCGGGCGGTGTCAGCTCCGCAGACTCGCGGGGGGACGGCTCCTCCGCCTTCTCCCCCAACTCCTGGGGCGGAATTCTTGCGCTCCCCTCACCCTCCACCCCGGGCAACTTCAAGCGCACACCCGACCGCGCTTGGGCCAGCGGGAAGTCGAGAGAGAGAGGAGGGGGGGAGCACTTTTACCACGATTCTTCGCCTCACCTTCCCCAAGGTCACTGAAAACCTTCGCCGTCCAGGACTTAACCTGGCCATGGACTGGGTCCTACAAACAATCTAGTGGGTATAGGTGGGTGTTTGAGAAAGGAGAAAGGGAAGGAACGAAGTCCATGTGCAGAACGCAATGGGAATGTTCTTGAAGGGAGCATTTGCAGAGGGATGGGGCGGGTGGGGGGTCGTAGCTGCTTGCTTATGGATAATGATCTGGGGGATGATAGGGAAGGGGTAGGGAAATGCTCTACACCCACACTACTCAGTACAGAAGTAGCACGATCTTATTTGTCCCTGTGCGCAGAAGCATCACACCACTGAAATGTCAGGATGTACAATAAACTGTAGTTCTAGAAGATGGTGTTCGTTATGCAGTCAACACAAATATTTTGTACCACATTTTAATGAGCTATGCTTAAGCTTAAAATGAGGCGTCTTTGATTTGTGAATTGATGTATTTTTATCCTGCGGTTTTTGAAATTTTTCTGAAGCTTATAAAAACTTTAATAAGGCACTGGGAAGGTGGCTCAGTAGTAAGTAGAGCGCTTGCCTTGCATGCATGAGGCCCTGGGTTCCATTCCCCAGCACCACATAAGAAGAAAAGGCTGGAAGTGGCTCAAGTGGTAGAGCGCTAGCCTTGAGCTGAAGAGCTGAGGGACAGTGCCCAGGCCCAGAATTCAGCCCCACTAGCAAAAAAAAAAAAAAAAAAATACAAGTTTGCCTTCAACAAGCCTGTAATAAATAACCTGAAAATGTGAAAATGGTGCAAATAAAGACACAAAATTATACATAATTGTAATGAAATGAAAATTATCACTGAAGACATTTGCATAAAACTAAGATAAAAATACTTTCATATTTCACTTCTTATTTGTACTTAAGCATATTATTCATCACAGATTTTAAAGTATCTAATTTTAAGTTCCTATAAACCTGTAAAGGACTTATCAATATGTGAGAGTTATATGTTGGCTGACCAGATACAGCTTAACAAGAGCAAACATCGTGTTAGAAATAATATTCCATTACCAAGAAGCCACTAATTGAAGTTCCTCACAATTGCTTACAAGTTGTAGACAATCTTTAAAAAAAAAAATCAGAGACAAGATTGAGATGTGTAGATAGGTGAAAACCTGAAACCTTGAATCATGGAATTTTTAGAATGAAAATAAATCATGGAATTTATTTAGCAAACCATATTTTATAGCTGAGATATTAACTAATATGCTGGACATCAGCAATAACTGCTGTCATCACCCAGGTAACTCCCTGCTATAATACAATGACAGTAATAATATTTATGATATGCTCAGTGGTTACATGTTTTAAAATGAAATATTAACTCATTGAATCCTTAACTATCTAATGAGATCTTTATTCTTCCATTCTACAGTTGTGGAAAGTGAGTCAAAAAATATTAGAACCTTATCAACAGTGCAACTGATAAGTGGTGAAGTTGGCATTTGAACTCAAGCAGTTTGATTCAGTAGGAATGGGGTTCAGCCATTATGTGGTTTTCCCTTTTCTGTATTGCTTTTACCTACCACAACAGTTTGGGATCACACTGTGCATAAAAGATGAACCAGATCCTACCTGTTGTGAGAGATAGTACATACCAAAACACTATGACCAACCTTGTGAGGTCAACATGGAGTTGCTGAATCACAGGAATTTGCTTGAAATTTCGTAGAGCTCTAGAGTTTAAAGAGACTTTGAATATTATCTAGAAACTTCTGAAAATAATGTACAATGTACATTATAATGTACCACCACCCAAGAAAAAGAGAATCTTTCTTCCCTTTCATTGTTAACTGCAGCAACTTAGGTAACAATTATAGCATTCCTTTTTCTTGTTTAGATAGGGTCTCACTATATAGTGTAGGCTATTCTTGAACTAATGATCTTTTTGCTGTTCCCTATAGAGTGCTGGGAGTAAACATTTTCACCACCACACCCAGTGAGTATTACTAGTATTACTTTTAAATTCTTAAAATTCTGGAAGAATAACCTAATAATTAACTGGAAGTCTATGGTTAGTTTTAAGTTAAGTTATTCTCTCATACTCAGAGAGAGGACACACAGATACAGATATATAGCTATATCTGTGTGTATGTATATATTTCTGTATGTGCATATGTGTATATACATGTGCATATATATAATTGCTACATAATCACCCATATATGCTCTTATATATGCTCATAATCACCCTTATATATGTTCTTAATTCTGTAGATCAGTAATTTGGTCTGGCCTTGTCTGGGATCATGCAGTTGTTGGAGTAGCCTGGCAGCCTGACTAGCATTCACATGATTGGGAGCTAATGCTGACCACTCTCCTTGTAGCCAGCCTTTCATTCTCAAGAATAACTTGGGCTTCCTCATGTCATAGCAGTATGTTAAGCCAGTAGAGTAAGAGCTACAAGACTTCTTGAGGCTCAAAGCTCAAAAGTTATATGACATTACATCTACTACATGCTATTAGTCAAAGTAAGTCTAAAGGCTAGCATAGATTCAGGAACTGGGAACATAGACTTCCCTTGTTGATCAAGGGAGGAGCACCAAAGTCATACAAAGGAATACACCTACAGTGTGGGAGAACTCTGATGATCTTCACATACAATCACAATATATAATTCAAGAATGACAGATGCTTATTAAAATGCTTTTAAATGCCTAGTAATGCCTTTGACAACAGCAAAACAAGGAGACACTAGTCAAATCTATTTTTTAAACTGTCACTCATCTTCCCTATGGTGTATTGGAATTTTACTCATCCAACAGGAAAAATATTATGTCATTGCAAGGATATGTATGGACCTGGGGGGAAAATTATGTTAGCTGAAATAGGTCAGCTCAGTGAGTCAGAGAATATAGATTTTCTTTTCCATGTGGATGTTATATCTTTTATAAATCTATATAACAATATATATAGGGTCATATGTATATATACACAAACATATTAATTAAAGTATGATATATGTAGGGGAGGCTTGTAATGGTGTAACTCCTTACA